AACATGAACTAGGACATGCATGTTTGCTAACTAGTTTACTGTTTTGGCACGGAGTACGATGTAAGTATTTATGCTTTAGCATCCCACATGCGTGTGAATGTTGCCATGACAGTATGCTTGCTATGCGGCTAAATGCTTATGTGAGATAAACTGTTTGAATGCCTGTGGGTGGAGGTTGGGTTGTTTGAGTTGGAAAAACTCATTGAAATCCGTGTTTTAGCCTACTTGCGAGTAGCAAATTCCAAAACGCGTTTCAAAACGAACGGATATGCAATGCTTATTTCCAAATTAGGCAATCTAGTCTATACTTGTTTGCTGTGCGCATAACAGAGTAATTCTAGGCTAATAACCAGAATAAGAACACATAACGTTTTCAAAAACGGATATCACGGTTAGTAGAGGCCGGTCTTCGAACCGGGCGAAAGGGGGTACTCATAGTTGACCTTCCCCGATCGTACCCAAGCTCCCGAGCCGAGACAACTCCGGTGATGACGGACACGTGGCCTTCGACACCGAGTCAGGGTTTCCTAAATTCTCCCATTAAAAAAATATTTAGGTGGCGACTCTGTATCTGGCTAAGCAGTCCATGTTTGGCACTACTTTTTCAAAAATCTGTTTTTCAAAACGATTTGCCAGATTTGGACTCTTTGGTTCAAGATTAAGAACCGCGACACAAATCGAGAGTCCGAACTGTAGCATCGAGGGCCCCCCTCGCGGGCGCGTCTACAACTTGGGTTCAACAAAATAGAGTCTAACTCTTTACACGAAATAAGCCCTTGGCTTGATATACATGAAATATACAAAATAATCACAAAAAGGAAGCCTTCAGCTTCTACAACCTCCCAAGCTACATCCTTGGAGGCGACATATCACCTGTACCTAAAAATGATGCCCCATATAGGGTGAGCCAACGCCCAGTAGAGATATGCTAAACATAATATGAGCAATAACTAAAACATTTGCATTTGATAAATGTTTAACTCATACAAACCCACGCACAACATAATCCAATTCCATGATAAATATGCCCATGTTCATTTTACTTTCCTTTACTTAACCAATTTTCAATTCATAACCATGGCTCAGAACCTGACCAAACAATTAAATGAGATTACGACTTATATCAAAACACTTCCATACTTCACAATAGATACACATATTTGCTGTATCAATGTCATATTAAAACACTTCCAGACTTCACAAATGATACACAGATTTGCTGTATCAATGTCATATTAAAACACTTCCATACTTCACAAATGATACACAGATTTGCTGCATTAATGGAGTCCATCCCCTATCTCATCCCAAATAATATCCGGTTTAGGAGTCCATCCCCTATCTCCTCTCAAACCGTAGAGTACATCCCCTATCTCCTCCCACACAATACAATATATATAAACAATTATCATATACAAGATCAATCAATACACAGATTCGATGTATTATTCCAACCGTCATATTCGATGGCATATTCAACCGATTAGTCTTAATTCACCTAATCATCATGCAGTGTCTACAACAATCAAGACTATCCTCCACCGATAGCCCAAAGCAATTATTTCTAAACAGATAATAAATGCATCAACAAATAATTTATCAACAATTTCAAAAGTGAGCGATTAGTAAATCTAACTCCACCATTCCGTCTCATATTAAGCTAATTTCAACATTTCCAACTCAATTTCATATTCCCATAATATTCTCAAATTAATTATATAAATTAATTCATAACAAAAATTAGGACATTTCTCCCTCCTTCTCAACATTGACCAAAAGGCTCAAATATCAACAACAAACAACATTAACCTCATTTGAGACCCAAAACACACATGTATTGGCCTAAAGAACAAAACCCCTCTTTATACAATTGAAACCCTAACACCCAAAATTACCCAACTTCAACATTATAACAAAATGACCAAAATTTTATGTTAAAGACCATAAATATGAGTAGTTATCCCTACCTCAAAAGATGAGACCAAATGGAGAAGATGAAGAATTTCGAAATGCTCCAAAACCCAAGATTTTCGGATGGAAATGTAGCCCAAGCCAAGCTCTACACTTTTTACAAAGACACTAAGGTAAAAGATTACTCAAACTAGATCAAACCCTAGAGAGAAGTTGAAGTTTAGAGTGAGGAGCTCTCCAATGGAGGTTTTGAAAAGTTAGAGAGAGAAAGAGTCAAAGAAAAGTGATCCAAAAAGCCACTTTTTGGACTGATATAAAAGTCACCCCACTCGAGCGTGGAACTGCCCGCTCGAGCGTCAGACATAGACTCATGCTCGAGCGTGAAAAGCGCCGCTCGAGCGTCGATTGCACACTTCCAAAAGTTTTGCAGTCGATGGTCCCCGCTCGAAGGTGAAAGTGGACGCTCGAGCGTCCGATGACCTGCAGAACAAAAATACTAAGAGAAGAATAATCACGCTCGAGCGTCAAAACGCCCGCTCGAGCGGAGAAACAACAACAAAGGGCTCACTCAAGCGTCAAAATCCTTGCTCGAGCGTGAAGGCCAAAATCTAGGCATCAACTTTTGGGTTCTAAACACAACCAACCTGTTCCCAACCTGCCCAACACAACCCAAGACTCAAATATAAAGAGTAAAGGATAAAAATGAGAATATGACAACCACACACTCACGGAACTAAGTCCGGAATACAACAAACAAGGAAAGGAAAAATCGGGATTGCTGTATGCCGCTGTCGCCGTCCAACCAAGCCGTGCTGGGTTGGTTATGGGTTGGGTCCTAACATTAATTTTTTGGACAAAATTCTTGTGGAAAAATTTGAATTTTGCACCAAACAGTTTGAATTCAAATTTTTACTCCCAATCAGTGTGTCTTTTCCGAACTAGTCCGAAATTTCCAAGACTGTTCCCAGACAGATTCAAAATTGTCTCAACAGATTGCACCGGACAGATTCAATTCAAATTCTGCACCTGTTTAGTTTAATATCAGACCTGTTCAGTTCAAATTTGAACCTGTTCGGATCTGGCAAACAGTTACTAACTTTCCTATAGATTTTTCTTAATCAATTCTCTTCCCCCTTTTTGCTTTATTTTTGCATTATTTTTCATATTAGTTTTTAGAGAAATTTTTGAGAGTATAGAACATAGGTTTTGGTTTGTCGAAACAGATTATTTTTAGTGCTAATACAATTTGTGAAAGATCGTTGTATCTTAGGAGATAGACGTCATTATTCCGTAAGCACCTGAGCGGAGCGAATCTGTCTTAAGGATAGAGTGTCATACATTCGACTTGATCATTCTTGTTCTTAAAGTGTTTTGGTAAATAAATTCTATAAGTAATTTATTTTGGTTATTTGATTTGTTTCAAGTTATTTTTATTATACACAGAAGATTATTCCCACAAGTGTACATTACGAAGAAGATAATTTATTTTGGTTATTTGATTTATTTTTATTTATTTTGGTGGCTTGAACTCTAACTCATAAATGTGGTGTGCTTTCTTCTTGCACTGGCTGTAGTTTGTGGATCAATCTAGTCTGAGCAAGGCTCTCAATGCCTACAAGCCCTTCCAGGTCAAAGACTAAAATAACAAGCACTTCAAATAATACAATCTAATAAACTAGTATTGTGGCTCCGTTTGGGATGTGGGTTGGTGTTTTGACTTTTTGACTATTTTAACCTAGGGTTAAAAAGTCTCGTTTGGTATGGACTTTTTGATTTTTTGACTTTTGTGAAAAAAAAATGAAATGATTATGATTTAGATGTGATATTTTGTCTTATTGGCTTTTAGCTTATTTTGTCTTTTTGTGACTATTTTAACCCAAAAAGTTTATACCAAACGAGGGCTTAGAAATTTTTCTTCTAAAAACATGTTTCAAAACACAAACTAAACACACTCATAGTTTCTCAAAAAAAGATTTTGAGGAGAGAGTTTAGGGCCTTGTTTGGTTTGCTTTTGAAAGAGTAATTTTGGAGAAATTTTTTCAAAATTTTGTTTGGTTTAGTGATTTTGGAAAAAAAATTAAAATCACTTTCTCTCTCCTACACATCAATCAATCACTTTTTCTCTCTCCTCAATCTTTCTCAGGCTTGGTTTGGGAAGTAGGTTGGCTTTTTGGCTTGTTAGTTTTTTTGGTTATTTTAGGTTGAGGTTAAAAAGCCTGGTTTGGGAAGGACTTTTGATTTTTTTGGTTTTTTTTGACTTTTTTGTGAGAGAAAGAATGTAATGATTATGGGTTAGATGTGATGTTTTGTCTTATTGGGCTAAAAATGCTATTTTATTTTTTATGACTATTTTAGCCCCAAACCCACCCAAACCCACTTCCCTGCCTCAATCAATTTTTCTCTCACACACATCTACTCAATTGTAACAAAATATCAAATTATCGCAAACTGCCATATTTCAAAACTATTTCCAAAATATACAACCAAACAAACTAAAAAAATTTCTGAACTCTCTCCTAATTTATTTATTTTTTTGAAAATTTATCTCCCAAAACCAAACCAAACACACCCTAGAAGTTTTAAAAAAGATTTCGAGTGTGTTTAGTTTGGTTTTGGGAGATAAATTTTTAAAAAAGATTTTGGAGAAAGAGTTTAGAATTTTTTTTGATTTGTTTGATTGTATATTTTGAAAATAGTTTTTGAGTATAGAAGTTTGGGATGATTTAGTAGTTGTTTGTGATGTTTTAAATAAGTGCATTTTTTGATTTTTTATGAAATATGGGTTGAATTTGAAGTGATATGGTAGATAAGTGATATGACTTAAATAAGATGAAACGAATTAAATATGATAGTAACTTTTTAGCTTTTTGACTTTTTTAATATATGTCAAACAAGGCTTAATATTTTGTTGTAATTGAATAAATGTGTATGAGAAAAAAAATGATTGAGAATGAAAAATGAAAGAGAAAAAATAACTGGTTGATATATAAGAGAAAAAAGATTTAAATTTTTTTTTTTCTAAAATCACGTAACTAAACAAAATTTTAAAAAAAAATTCTCAAAATTTATTTCACAGAACAAACCAAACAAGCCTGCAGCTCTCTCTCTCTCTCTCTCTCTCTCTCTTCTCAGTATTTGTTCAATACTTTTGAGATTTTCGTCTCTTCAGGTTTTTTTCCTCATCTCTTTCATTGCTTTTTTTCCCCACTTACAGGCTTCGCTTTCCATCACTTGTCTCTTACGATGGTCGTCTCCTCTCATCAATCTCTCCTCTTTTGATTATCTTCAATTTTTTTGTCGAACTCATCACCGCCAGACACTCTTCATCATCAACGAACACAAGTAGAAGGCAGAGCTTCAGATTTGTAACTATTTTGTAGAGGGAAGAGAATTATTTTGGTACATCTCTCTTAGATCTGTAACTAATTTGGTTATTTTTTTTAAGATCGGTAACCATTGGGGTTGATTTTTTTCAGATCTGTAAATATTTTGATAAGATCTCTTAGATTTGTTACTATTTTGACATATATTAGATCTATATGTTTTGATTTTTTTATTTTTTATTTTGAAATCATCATCCACTCCTACTGATGTGTTCTTCACTGCACCCGACCGATACCGACCGCCATCTTTGGATTCCAGAAATAGAGAAAGAGGGAGAGAAGAGGTAGGAAACATAAGAAAAAGATGGAGTGTTTACTGGTTGACTATTAACAGTGGGTCTTCAAATTTAAGAAAAAACTCAGAAATTTACCAGAATTTGAAATCATAGGTGAGATTTATTGCTCACAACAAAGATTAATCTTTTTTTTTCTTCCTTAAATTTTTATTATTATTTTATTTTAACTCTCTACAGCATTTCGTCATATATTTTAAGATCAAAAGCCCATCAGATAGGAGTGCTTGCAAATAACGTTTTCTTACCTTTTGCAGAGTCACCCGGCTCACTCACTTATATTCCTCCCCACAAATCATTTGATCTTGGCTTCATCCATGACTTCTAAAAGAACCTTAGATCATTCTTCTTGTTTTCCAGCCCCAAAAAAGAGGAAAGGCTCCTCTTGTTTTGCTTCATCTTCTTCAACACAACCTCGCTGGACCTATCACGTGTTCTTGAGTTTCAGCGGTGAAGATACTCGCAAAAACTTTACTGATCATCTCTACGAGGCCTTGGATCAAGCTGGAATTCACACCTTCAGGGATGATAAACTTCCAAGAGGACGTGAAATTTCTCCCGAGCTTCTCAAATCAATCGAAGGATCCAGGATCTCCATCGTTGTTTTCTCAAGAAACTATACTTCTTCCAGATGGTGCCTTGATGAGCTCGTGAAGATCATTGAATGCAAGGAAACAATTGGGCAATTAGTTCTCCCAATATTCTATGATGTTGATCCATCCGACTTATGCGACCGAAAACGGTGTTTTGGAGTAGCATTTAGAAGACATAAAAAGCGTTACGGGGATGAGATGGAGAAGGTGGAGGTTAGGAGAGTTGCCCTCTCTAAAGCTGGTAATATATCAGGCTGGGTTTTGAAAAATGTTGCTAATGGGTAATTTTTAACATCCTTTTAATTTTGCTGCTGCTGCTGCTATCAATTTTTAACTTTTAACTAGAAAATCCTATCCTTATTGTTTTTAATATTTTTAAAATATATATATATATATATCAAATATAGTTAGTTCACTTTGTAAGTTCAAGATGTTTTGAATTTTACATTTCTTAACTGCATATTTTGAGTGGGGTTTGTAAGGTTTTTGATTTCTGTAATATACAATAACTTTACTTTTAATTTGGATTGAAATTGACAGGCATGAAGCAGAGTTAATCCGACAAGTTGTTGAAGAGGTTTCATGTAAACTGGAACGTACATCCCTATATGTTGCTAAGCACCCAATTGGAATAGAGTCTCATGTTGAACACGTCAGTTCGTTGTTGAGCATTGGATCAGATGATGTTCGCATGATTGGGATATACGGCATGGGTGGAATAGGCAAAACGACCATTGCAAAAGCTGTGTATAACCATATTTTCTTCCAATTTGAATGGAGTTGTTTTCTTGCAGATGTTAGAGAATGTGCAGGACAATCCAATGGCCTAGCTCAATTGCAAGAACGACTTCTTTTTGCATTATTAGGGACAAAGAATCTAAAGGTTAACAGTGTTCACGAAGGAATTAATTTGATTAAAGAAAGGCTCCATTCTAAAAAGGTTCTCATTGTTCTTGATGATATGGATCATACAAGGCAATTAAACACCTTAGTTGGAAATCATGATTGGTTTGGTCCAGGAAGTAGAATCATCATAACAACTAGAGATGAGCAGTTGTTGAACTTACTGAAAGTTGATGAAAGATACATGGCTAAGAAATTGAATCACGAAGAGTCTTTGCAACTTTTCAATTCTTATGCTTTCGGAGGAACCAATCCATTAGAAAATTATGCAGAGCTTGCAAATGGTATAGTACATTATGCAGGAGGTCTTCCGCTAGCTCTTGAAGTTTTAGGTTCTTATTTGTTTAAAACACCATTGGTAGAATGGAAAAGTGCATTTGATCAATTACAACGAATTCCTCATGAGGATATTCACAAAATACTTAAGATAAGTTTTGATGCACTAAATCAGGAAATGAAGGATATCTTCCTTGATATTGCATGCTTTTTTGTTGGAATGGACATGGACTATGTCATTAATATATTGAAATGTTGCGATTTCTCCCCAGAATTTGGAATTAGGATTTTGATTAATAAATGTTTATTGAGAGTTAATAGATACAATGTGCTAACAATGCATGATCTACTTCGGGATATGGGAAGGGAAATCAATCGTCAAGAATCTCCCAAGGAGCTTGGAAAGCGCCGTAGATTGTGGTTTCATAAAGATGTATCCTTTGCACTTGAAAACAACAGGGTAAGAGTCAAATCTTTCTTTCTAGTGAGTTAGTAAGCTTTTGGCTTGGAATGCTAATTTCAGTTGTTTTTAGTCTTTCTTCCTTCTAATTTTCAATTTTGTTTTTAAATATTTATATATTAGGGAACAGAAACAGTCGAAGGTGTGATCCTGACCGGACTACCCATGGTGAAGAAGATACAATGGAGTAATAAAGCATTTGCTAGGATGCATAATTTAAGACTGCTTCAAATCAATCATGTGCACCTCAGTGGTAATTTTGAACACCTATTGAAAGAGTTAAGGTGGCTCTGTTGGCATAACTGCCCATTGGAGTATTTACCATCCAATTTTTATCCAGAGAAACTCGTTATTTTAGACATGCAGTTCAGCAAAATTAAAACACTCTGGAAAGATGGCAAGGTACGACATTCTTAGCAAATTCATTCTTGTTTGGGATTTGGATCAATTGAGTAGTGAATCATGAAGAAAGAAAAAAAAATTATATAATTTCTTATATTTTTTTTTTTTGGTTTTAACAGCACTTCAGGAGCTTGAAAATTCTAAATCTCAGTAATTCCAAATGCCTAACGAAGGGCCCTATCTTCTGCGTACTATCGATGCTCGAGGAATTATTACTTGAAGGTTGTACAAGTTTAATGGAGCTCCATGAATCAATTGGGCTTCTAGATAAACTTGTTCACTTGAATTTGAAAGATTGCATGAACCTCAGGTATCTTCCAGGCAGTGTCTGCAAGTTAAAGTCTGTTGAACGTCTAAATCTCACTGGTTGCGCAAAACTAGAGGAGTTTCCAGAGCACTTGGGAGATATGAAAAGCTTAACAGATCTTCTTGCAGATGGCACAGCCATTAAACAACTACCTTTCTCTATTAGACTACTGAAGAATCTTAGGACCTTCGGATGTAGTAGGCAATTGACAACTAAATCCTTGTTTTCTCGCATTTTATCTTGGGTTTCACGGAGAAGATTTTTACCATCCTCTGTTTCTGGTTTGTGTTCCTTAACAGACCTATGTCTCAGTAATTGCAATATGTCTGAAAGAGATTTTCCAGCTGATTTTGGAAGTTTATCCTCGTTGCGATGGTTGGATTTAGGCAGAAACAATTTTAAGCACCTACCAGATTGCTTCAGTCATCTATCCAAGCTAAAACTCCTTAAGTTGAATGACTGCAGAAGTCTTCAATCTATCTCAGATCTTCCTCCTAATTTAAATAAAGTTGTGGCTTATAATTGTGCTTCACTTGAAAAAATATCCGGTCTATCAAAATTGAAGACTCTAAGAATCTGCTTAAGTAATGACCAATATGGCCGCTTTCTCTCAAATGGTAATAATGATGGTATGGAAGATCCTCCTTGTTTTCAAGGTGCACGAATCATTCCCTTTGACAGGCTCAACAATTTACAAAATTTCCTTCAGGTCTCTCTCTCTCTCTCTCACTCACACACACACACAGGTTCTGTGCAAATTAAGTGAAATGTGGGAAACTAAATTTATTTTAGATGTTACCTTCATAATACTAAAGGAGGAGAATTTCATGTAATCCAGATTATATGGATTAGATAATGTTGTTTAGGTTTGTAGAATTGACATGGGATCTTTTACGAGTTTTGTTTTGATGATTCGGATTTTTTGTTTTATCTAATACTTGTGTATTTCATTCATAATAAAAATAAAATCGATAGGATAATTATAATATATTTAGTTTATCAAATTTGTAAAAAAAGGGGATGACAATTTTGTTTTTAAAAATAAATAATATATTTTTTGGTGACAAATATAATAAATTAAATAGGTTATGATGTAGTATCACTATTGTTTATATATTATTATATAATCCATCATTAGATATACAAGACTCTTTTATATTGTCTATAATATACTAGTTATATAGTAATACCATATTTCCAATTTTTATTTTTTAAAATTATTCTATCTATATTTTATGCTATTGATTTTGTAGTTGACTTTGTATCCCTAAATTGATTTTAATTTTTTTTATTTATTTTCATCTTTCTCTCTATTAATTAGAAATTCATATGACAGCATCTTGGTGGCATGTCCAGGATGAGAGAGGCTTACCGGACTTGTACCCTCAATGTCGGTTGGTTGATGAGCGATGATTTCCATACTGGTGACTTGGGGGACTGTTTCAATGATTATGAATACAGCTATAATTTTATAAATGGCCGTAGTTTTAGTTATAAAATAACAGCATCTTCTTCAATATCCTTAGAAGTGCCAGTACTGCGAGAGGAGGTAGACGAGTACATTGCAGAGTTCAATGTGATGATTGTTTATTATAGAGTTGGGGATGAAGAAAGCTGGGCCATGGAGTTAGTTGATTATCCATCCATCACTATTACTAATAAAATTAATGGCATCAATTTGACTCATACCCCAATTTTCTTTGCCATCCCTGCGAGTTGTGGAGTTTATACTTGGAAAATCTGTCTAAAAGTTGAAGACTATTTTGGATATAGAATTAAAGGTGGTGATCAACTCGATATTTCTTTGACTATGCCATCACCTTTTAAAGTGAAGCGGGGTGTGATGAATCTACAGACTCGATGCACTTACTGCTACGAAGTAGACTCAATGCACTTACTGCTACAAAAGAAATTTAATCGGCAAAGGTATACACTTTAGCTATTAAAAAATATATTTGGTCAGGTATAATCTTTAACTATTAAAAATAATATAGTGAGTGTGTATCGTACTTTTGGTGACCAAAAACAGAATTTTTGGCGAATCAAAAAAAATAATTTAGTCCATAATTGTACAATCTTTAGCTATTAAAAAAATTTATCGATATTTATTCTCATTTTGGTGACTATTTGTGTTTAGTCGTTGAAAATAGGGTTTTGGGTGACTAAAAAATAATTTGATTCATAAATGTATGATTTTTAACTACTGAAAATAATTTAGTCGGTATTTGTTTTGCTTTTAGGGACTAAAATTATTTTTAATTTTAGTCAGACAAAAAAATATTTATTTTACTTTTATTGACTAAAATTAATTTCGGCACATATGAATTTTCAGTGACCAAAATGCGAGAGGAGGTAGACGAGTACATTGCAGAGTTCAATGTGATGATTGTTTATTATAGAGTTGGGGATGAAGAAAGCTGGGCCATGGAGTTAGTTGATTATCCATCCATCACTATTACTAATAAAATTAATGGCATCAATTTGACTCATACCCCAATTTTCTTTGCCATCCCTGCGAGTTGTGGAGTTTATACTTGGAAAATCTGTCTAAAAGTTGAAGACTATTTTGGATATAGAATTAAAGGTGGTGATCAACTCGATATTTCTTTGACTATGCCATCACCTTTTAAAGTGAAGCGGGGTGTGATGAATCTACAGACTCGATGCACTTACTGCTACGAAGTAGACTCAATGCACTTACTGCTACAAAAGAAATTTAATCGGCAAAGGTATACACTTTAGCTATTAAAAAATATATTTGGTCAGGTATAATCTTTAACTATTAAAAATAATATAGTGAGTGTGTATCGTACTTTTGGTGACCAAAAACAGAATTTTTGGCGAATCAAAAAAAATAATTTAGTCCATAATTGTACAATCTTTAGCTATTAAAAAAATTTATCGATATTTATTCTCATTTTGGTGACTATTTGTGTTTAGTCGTTGAAAATAGGGTTTTGGGTGACTAAAAAATAATTTGATTCATAAATGTATGATTTTTAACTACTGAAAATAATTTAGTCGGTATTTGTTTTGCTTTTAGGGACTAAAATTATTTTTAATTTTAGTCAGACAAAAAAATATTTATTTTACTTTTATTGACTAAAATTAATTTCGGCACATATGAATTTTCAGTGACCAAAAAATATTTAGTTGTGGTATATTAATTTTTGCCGACTAAAAGAAATTTAGTCGCCAAATAACTAGCATAATTTTATTTTTAATATTTGGTGACTAGCTGGTTTGGTTGGCACATATGAATTTTCGGTGACCAAAAAAAATGAGTTAATTACTTAGAAGTTCTATTGTGTGTAAATATCTTCAAAAAAATATTTAGTTGTGCTATATTAATTTTTGCTGACTTAAAGAAATTTAATCACCAAATAATTAGCATAATTTTATTTCTAATATTTGACGACTAGCTAGCTTGGTCAGCAAATATGGAATTTTTAGTGATTAAAAAATATTTAGTCAGAATTTGAGTTTTATGTTTAATTTTGTTATATGTATTTTGAAAAAAGCTTCATACCCCCACTGGGGTATGTATTTTTTATTTCTTTGTATCTCAGCTCAGGTACATACACCAAATAAAGAAAAAAAAACAGAGTCGCTTGCTCTCCTCTCTCTCACTATCGCTCACCGTCTCCTCACCTCCCATTAGCAGGTCTCTCTTTATCTCTCTCTCTCTCTCTAGTTCTAAGGTTTTTTTTTTTTATTTTTTATTTATGCTATAGGATTTTGATTTCCGTGAAATGAGTAAATGAGTTTTGATTTTTGTTGTAGATTTATGGTTTTGAACTGTTCTCACTGGAAAGTTTTAATTAATAAGTCAAAGTGGTGTATGAGAAAGTTCATGAACAAGTAGCGGGCATGGTGGACCGAGAAGGCTGCTCCCGAGATTCCTCACTTCGAGGCCTCTTTGGTTCAGAGTTCCCCAAATCCACTTGCTGGTAATCTCTCTCTCCCTCTCTCTTTCTCTCTCTCTCTCTATTTTGTTTGTATGTTTTTATATATATCTAATTTTATTTTTCTATTTGTCTGTATGAATATACATAAACGCATTATATGTGACATGTAGAGTAATGGTGCTGTAAAGGTTTGCTCTTTTTTTATTTTAATTTTTAATTTTAGGGATTTTCTGATGAATTGAGTCCATATTTAAAACAGAGTTGATCTGCATTAGAGAATTCACCACTTTGATCACAGACATCAATGGAGAAAAATCTGAATACTTTTTAATTTGGTGGTACTTGGAATTGATTGCATATGCTGGAATTGAATGTTTCCAACATGGCTAAATTCTCTCTAAATTTATGGTTTTATAATTTTATTTTATTTTTCTAGTATCTTTTATTTTTCACCATCTATATCTACATGTATAATTTCTTAAATAGTTCACTTTCTTCATGTGCCTAATTGACACAGTCAATGATCTTATTTTATTGAATTTTAGATCCTCTTTTCTTCATTAATTTAAATCACCATCTAAAATCTTTCTTCTATTGACATTATGTTGCAGTTACTAGAAGAGTTGAGGAAGCAAAATTTCAGTGCTGAAGTTCACCTATTTAATGTAAGTACTTTACCTTGGTCCTTCTCTCTCTTTTGATTGCTCTTAGTATTACTTTTTTTTCTTTTTTTTTTTCACTTAGTACTGCTCCCATAGATGAATATCTGAAAAGTACTTGACTAGATAAAGAAAAATTTAAAACTGCAATGCATGACATATTTAAGGGAGTATATCCTGCTATAGTTAGCAAGATATTTAGTATTCTTCCAAGTGATGCATTTTCTTCTAGACCTCGGAGCAATACTGAGGTATGTAAACTTACGAATTAGTAAGATGACAATGCATAGAGGTGTTCTGATCCTTGCATTATACAAGCTCAGGTGCACATATGCTGTGCATTTCTTGGTTTTATCACTACTCTCTACGTAAGTGTATTGGGTGCTTTTATGGTGCCCTTACTTGCGTGTTTTTTCTAAAGCATTTTTTCAAATGCTACTTTTTCCTGCAATTATTCAACCTAAATTTTTGCTTTCTGTTTATTTTTGGCCTACACGCCGCAAAGAAATGAGAAGCACAAACAACAACGTTCTAGATACAATAAGTGCTGCTGTGACTACAATAAATGTTGTTTCAAAAACTGGAGATAAGGTTCCAGATCTATCAGAGTTAGAATTTGAGGCCATATGATCTAAAGATGGGGCATGGTAAGCTTACATATGAGAAGCAATAAAGATGTTTTGTTGTCCCTTAGTTGATATCTAGCTGGTTTGCTTTTGTGTTTGGCCACTACAGATGTACCTATTATTATTGTTATTTATTTTGTTTTCTTATTTGTGATATGCGTGGTACAATAATGCTACTTTGGAGTTTGATCTCTTGAGAGTGCCATTAATTTATATGCACTTTAAAAGAAGTAGACTTTGTGTTGGTATGTATTGCATGCTTTGGTGGTTGCAATAATTAGCCCATGCTTTCCTTGATTCACATTTGTCTACAATAGAAAGTTCACTAATTCTCTTAACATAATTTGATGGTGATCTTGGATCCTTTCCCACTCAATTCAGAATATGTTAATAATTGCTTATTACTTCTAGTGTTTCTTTTTCTTTTCCTCCAAATGGTGTGTATTAAGATAGTGAATTAGATATTTAAGTATTGATTCTTGTTTTCATCGATACTGCCAACTTATGAAAATCATATAGAAAAATTGTTAAGTATTGATCATTTTCCACTCAATTCTTATTTTAGTCGCAATATATAAAAAAATTGTTGCAGTAAGAAATTTTTACCTTTATGAGATGTGTCTGGTGTTGGTAACTTTCATGGGTATATATATATGAGATAGATTGATATTTCTGTTATGTGTTTAAATTAATTAGTTAATTTTACATAATTTTTTATAAAAAAAATTGTTAAGTGCTTGCAATTGATATTTTTGTTGTAACAAATGCATGTATAATTTTTGTAACAAATAATTATTCGTGACAAATGTCATTGAAAACTATTTGCGACCATAACAAGATAGTCGCCAAAAAATATGCTAGCATTTTTTCTTTGTTATTTGCGACGACAAAATAGCGGCTGCCATAAGTAGTTTAGGCGGTCACAAATAATTTGTGACCGCTGCTTTGTCGTCGCAAAAAGTATTTGCCACCCGTACATTCGTGACCCCCATTTGCTGTCGCAAAAGGCTTTTTGCGACTGTATTTCTATTATTTGCGACGGCTTGTAGCGGTCACAAAAAGTACTTTTTTTAGTAAACTAAAAACTAAGTAGAACAACAAGGGAACAAGAATTAGAACAAGAAAAAGAATGGTAGAAGATATAGAAAGAAAAGGCCAAGGATTGAGCAAGATGAACAATTATGATACCCACAAAGGAAAATCGCCAAAGAATTTTTAAAAGTCCTCCCAAATGGAAATCAAATGACTGATACCTATGGGGGCCGAGTATTAGGGGATGCAACGAGGCCGAATAAGTGAACTTAGAGAATCGAGATATATACATCGTATTTGGTCCAGTCTTATACAAATTCAGAAGTATCCTAATCGGCCACATAGCCAGTTGAGCGAGGAACCGAGTAAAGAGTGATTTGCAACAAAAGGAGTCGAGTAAGTGGTTACACGGTGGATTAAATGTGGGCCCGACCCTGAGGCCCAAGACAAGATATAAATAGAAGAATGTCAACCAGAAAGAGGTACGTGAGAACTAGTATGCTTAACTTAAGATACAAGCAATCAAGAGAGTATACACTGACTTATCCGTCGGAGTGCTA